ACAAAAGTGAGGATGGTGGCGATGTTGCGTACCACCGCTCACATGAGCTCAACACTGTACCTCTAAACAGCTCTTGCGACCCTACCTCAATTATAGCAGGCGAGCTTCAGTCATGTCCAACGCAACTCGATCGCAATGACGACCCTTCAAGTCTCATCCTTCCATACCACTCGTACGAACTCGGCACATTACCTTTATACAACAGCTCTTGTAACCCTGCCCCTGAGGCCCTCGGTGGCCACTATCCCGATTTTGCGGCTAATCCGCTAGGTTCTGGTTTTTTCGATGAAGCGCTTCTCCAGAATAATATTGGCGCTCACGGCGACAACGTACCGTTGTGGCCCGTACCTGGTATTGGCTATGGTGACCCAGCTCAGTATGTTTCTTCCATCTTGTCGCCGTTGAGTTCTGACTATATTGACTTGGTTAGGCAGGAAGATTGGAACTCATATATGGACAACCTGATGCAATCTATAGACCAAACAGGCTTTGAAATAAACCCGAATGTGAACTGAATTTCTGGCAGAGAATCTCTAGAATTGAAGCTGTGTTTATCCACTCTTGCACCTATTCCACTACTTAAGCCGATGCACTTATAACTAGACCTAATTGCTGTTCTTCTGTTATTAACCAAGTTTCGACCGAATTTTTTCACCTTTCTGTTTGCATGTTTGGGGGCTTTCCGAACATAAAAGCTCTGGTCACTTTGCGACCAGTTTCGCTCGGCGCCTCCTTTCCTCCGATAGAAGTAATACAGAGTTAATTGATTTCTACTTAGAGTTCCAACGCACTAGTACCATATTCACTCCATCTATAAGCCAACTCTGAGTCAGTCCCTGAGCAAACCTGTTCCCATGAGGCCAAACTTTCGAAGTTAGGCAAGCCCCTCTCAAGAGCGATCTTCTGCTCCTTGAGAAAGCTAGAATATCGGTCCAGTGGTTTGACCAGATAGCGTATAAATAGTTGTAACCCATCCAACTGTAACTCCCGAAGCTGCTGCAGATCTGTCTCCGAAAAGGGTTGCACGTTTGGAGGTAGCAAAACATCACATATCTTCAACCTCTCGGAAAGAGAGCATTTACGTTTAAGAAAGTCAAGAAGAGCTTTGTTCGAAACACCCTCCCCACGACTATCCGGCCGGAGCGTGAAGAGTCTGAATGTTGTAAGATGAGGACACAAAAAGGGAATGGTCTTATCCTCCGACTTCAACGCTTCATCAGCACGGAGTCTCAGATGAAAATCCTGCATGGTGTTTGGGTAGCATGGTGAAATCCAGCATCCGACGTCGATGATTTCCAAGACCGTGAGATTTGGCGTGAGCAAGAGACACTCAGTCAAATCTGCGGGGCTCATCGTGACCTCTAATCTAAGTTGCTGCAACTTTTCCATTGGCGCAGAAAAAATCACACCGGAAACAGATGTTAATGTTATGCCCAATCGATTCAAGGTGATGGAAAGTATTTGCAGCGAGGAAAAGGAAAATGCACGAATAGCTGACAGTCCATTATCTGGTGGCCGTGCGCCACGCATTTTGAAGATGATTGAGAGCGTATGCAGGTGATGAAGCTCTACAGGCTCGTTGCTTGTGATCGCTGTGTCATCGATTTCTACTAGGGCATGACATGACTGCAGTCGGGGGGTTTGAGCAAGGATAGCTAGGAGGTCCACTGGTCTAATATACGCCACGACGTGGCCATCGGCAGTCGTCTTTTGAATTCCCAATGCGAGTACGGTCAGATGATTCCAATTGCATCCAAGCCTCCAAAATTCTTCCATGGTGATAATCGGAAGGTCAAAGAGGCAGAGCTTTTTGAGTGGAGCAGATTTGGACAAGCAAGACGTAAACTCATGGAGGCGAACATTAGGAAAGATAGACCCGCCAGCAGTAGGCGTCCTTGAATGGATGGAGAGTGCCGTCAACGCGGGGAGTTCTTTTGTAAAGAATTGCTGAAGTGAAGAGAATTCGCAGCTCCGGTCAAGGATCAACACAATCTCCGCAATCCGATGTCTGTACATCCAAAAAAAAGATCTAAACACAGACTGACTCCAATTGTCCGTACCAACGGCCAAGGAGAGGGAGAATGGCAGCGATCCGGAGCGCTTGAGCCACTGAATTGACCCTTGCTCTCTGAGAGTGAACTCGTCGGCAGTCATTTCGGCTGGAAAGGAGATGTGTAATGCTTTCCAGAGCTGAGGGGAGCTAACAGCGACGTGTCTCCAGCTTCGACAAATAGACATCAGAAGAAGCGGTGCCTCTTCCAAGCTTCTGGAAGGATATTTATCTGTAGACAAGCAGTGTGTAAAGATCTCCGCGAGTGTCTCCGCAGGAAACCTGCGAATTGGTGACATCAAAGCGCGGTGAGCTTCGATGTAAGATTTAGCTCTATCGCGCTGGGCGTAGAGGTCTGTGAGACTATCCTGTAGACGGAGGATCTTGGATTCCAGATGCGAAAGTTCCTGCTTAGGTCCAGCCAAAAATATCTCCAATTTCGGCAGCTCTTCCATGGATGGAACATAGTTGGTATGCAAACGAGAGGCATAAGGAGATTTTAAAGTATCCCAGGCAGTTTCTGAGATTTTTGCGGCCATAGATTATTAGGGGGTGATGGAAGAGTTCGTGGTGCACTAGGCGCTCGTTGATACAAGCGCTTGCTAAGCGCCCGAATATAACTTCCTCTCCGGTCTCCCATTGGTGATTCAGCACATGATGAATGAGAGAGACGAAAAAGAACTGCATTGAAGCTTTGAGACCTTCATCATGTGGAACACATTTCTTGCTTTCGTTATAACGGTCTTGCTGGAGTATTTCGTGTCCAATGGACCAGAACCTTCTTCAGAATGCAGAATACTACCCCAGGATGATAATTGGCCGAAGAAGAATATATGGGAATCGTTCAACCGTTCTGTGGACGGCCGTCTTATTAGGACCATACCTATCGGAACACCTTGTCATCAGGAGAACTTCGACTTGGAGAAGTGCCAGTATGTACAAGACAGTTGGCATGAGCCAGAATTGCATCTGGCGAGTGCGTCTTCAATGATGGACTTCATCTTCGCAAACAAGAGCTGTGATCCTTTCACTGCAAAGACGGACCAGTGTATCGTAGGGACCTATGTCCAATACGCAGTGAATGTATCCGAAGTCGAACATGTTTTCAAGACCATCGAATTCGTTAAACAACACAATATTCGTTTCGTTGTAAGGAATACTGGCCATGAGTGAGTGTTTCTATTCTCGATCGGTGCGAAAGATTGAACAAAGCGTTATTTCGTAGCTTTATGGGACGTTCAACCGGAACAGGTGCAGTTTCTGTTTGGATGCATCATCTACAGGACATGGAGTGGTTCGAGAACTACACTTCTTCCACATATTCAGGCCCGGCAGTCAAGGTTCAAGCGGGAATAATGGGCTACCAAATCTCAGAGGAAGCGGAGAAACGGGGTTTGGTTGTCGTTGTTGGAGAATGCCCGGTATGTTGTATTTATGATTGTGAACTCGGTTTTGATGTTGGCGCCGCATCCTTCAGACAGTGGGATTTGCAGGAGGCTATCTTCAAGGTAAGGACCGATAACATTTCATTTAACAAATCAACATCTATTATGTATATCTTCAAGGCGGAGGACATTCATTCATAACATCCAGCTACGGTTTGGCCGCCGACCAAACGCTCTCCTTTGAAGTCATAACTATGGACCGAAAACTAGTCATTGCCTCACCGACCGAGAATGAAGACCTATATTGGGCTTTAAGCGGAGGTGTATGTACGCTCATTCTTCCTATATCAACATCATGAACGAACTGCGCTTATCAGGGTGGCGGAACGTACGGTATCGTCTGGTCTGTCACAGTCAAGGCTTTTCTCGACCTTGGTGCAACCTCAGCGTACCTATCATTCACGTCAGACGGTCTGTCTCGGGATGAATGGTGGTCCATTCTATCTGCTTGGAATCGGGGCACGCCAAACCTCACCGATACGGGTATCTGGATAAGCTCGAATTATAACCTCGAGCACTTTTCATTTGCGCCACTCTTCGCACCAAACCATTCCATTGGCAGCGTGATGAGCCTGCTGGCACCCCTAATTCATTTACTCGACGATGAATTCAAGGTGTCGTATAATTTCAACATCGAACACCACGACAAGACGCCTGTATCTTCCCAGGAAATGGATAACAAGATCAGTGGATTTCAAATGGGAGGGAGAATCCTTCCTCGATCCTTATGGGATAGTGACGAATCTTTCGAAGCATTCATGGGTGTAGTCAAAGTCATTCTTGAGGGTGGAGTGCACTCTATATGGGATGTTGCAATGCGACCGACTATGGAGGTTGCAGGTCATCCGAACAATGCAGTGCATCCTGCGTGGAGGAATGCTGAGCGGATGTTTAATCCGACGCTGTGAGCTTCGTCTACTTTGAATTTGCTCGCGTGTTGCTCACTTCAGCTGTTTGTACCTAGTGTAATTGACGATCACATTACCATGGAGCAAGTTGTTGAAAATCAGCTTCGTATCAGCTGGTTCTACGACGAGCCTCTTCGACGGTTAACGCAGGAGGATGGTGGCGCTTACTTGAACGAGGTAAATATCTCGCTTTATCTCTTTTCAGTCAAGTTCCGCAGGCAGCTAACGCGATTTTGAGGCTGATTACAAGGAGCCTTACTGGAAGGATGCATTCTATGGTTCCAACTATGACCGCCTACTTGCTATCAAGGAGAAATGGGATCCAGACCAAATACTGTATAGCTCGATATCGGTTGGTGGGGATCGTTGGGAGGAACAGAAAGATGGGAGACTTTGCAGGTCGTCGATACCCATATAAACTTTGGTTATCTTGAATATACTATTCCATGTTCATTGTTCCAAGCTTCGACCAAACCAGTTCGGATTGGATTCCCACCGGGGAAAGGGAGGCTTGTAATAAAGCTGATCCAAATTACTCGAAGGCTTGTTTTTATATATGGAAGAACGGCCAAAAATGATGTGGTATAGATCCAGAATTGATTCGACCCGGTTTCGAACCGGGGACCTCCTGTGTACATCTCGAAAATTTCATTGATGTGAGACAGACGTGATAACCACTACACCACCGAACCATTAACAGATGCCGTGAATTGCTATAATCTATTACTGACAGTGGCACGGCGATAGATGAACTTGAAAGCGATATGTAGAAGTAGATGTGGATTGTATGTACAACGTAAATCAATTTTAGATATGCACGGCTTATCTCCAACTTGAAAAACCCAGCCCCCAATTTTAATAACTGTTAACCTTCATCTCCACGACTCCGTCTGAGCGAAGCTTTGAAAGCCTGTCCTCCAAAGCTTCGAGAACTTGAGACGATGCCTTTGGGATCGTGATAACAGCAGTCCGCAAAACTCGGTTGGGCAACTGGTCATTCTGTCGACGGGACTCGATGAAAGACAATAATTCATCAAAGGGGATAGACCTGGAATGAAATTTAAGAACAACGCGCATGAGACTGGGTACCATCAACATGAGGTTGTTTTCCTTCAAGCTCGGACCCATAAGACTCTGGAAGAAATGGCCTGTAAGGGATTCTTCCTTCTCTTCAAAAATAAAACCTGTGAGCGCTGGAATTTTCTCCAGAATCCTCAAGAGATCACCATCGGAGAACCGGCAGCGCTCGAAATGCAGATGAGTGAGTTTCGTCAAAGATGACTGGGAGCGGTCCAACATTGATAGAAGCCCATTCACGGGGAACGCTGACTCTCCACTCTCGTTAATCAGCGTGAGCTTTTCCATATTTGGAAGCGTTAGAGACGTCAGTAGTGTAGCAAGAGCTTCACCCTGGTCTTCATCCTCGCCTGTCGCCGTAATAGATAGAGCTTTCAGCGGAGATGTAACCTCGGCAGTACCATAGTTCGTGTACGGAGTAAAGACTGTGAAAATCTCCACAATACACTGAACTGATACCTCTTCGAGGAACGTTGTGACGGTGTCGGGGGTAATCCAGGTGAGGCTCATGTAATCAAGGCAACTCGAGCCGAATTTGCCCCCGTAGCAAAATTTTTCCACCGAAAGTTTGCGCAACAGAGGAGCGTGAAACGTAGGACACCAAACCATGCCGGCATCATTCTCGGGCATACACCGTACATCCAGTTCCTCGAGTGATGGGAATGCGCTGGGGAAGGTGGTATTTCCACCAACTGATTCGGGAAGCTGCATGACCGCAGTTCGCCACCTATGAGCGTGCTGCAAAAGTATCGACAAGATTGGGAGCGAAGATCTCGCCGGACTATCTTCAGCATCATCGTTGTGATCATGCTCTTCCTCGGACTCGACCTCAGAGTAGTTGTCAAAAACGCAATCTTCTGAGAACAAGATGCAAATATCTAGGGCAGCGTCTTTGGAGCGCTCGAGGTAGAGTTTCACGAATGCTTCGACGGAGGAAGGAACCTTGGCTGATGCAGTTGACTCGGAGGGTCAGATAGATTTTGCTCCAGAGTGAAGGAGTAGTAAGGGCAATAGCACGCCAGCGCGCAGTGACTAAGCTGAGTACAGCTGAATCTATGTTGAAATGAGAGACAGTCTTTCGCTCGAATTCTCTGGGAGTCCTTGTATTGGAGAAGCGGAAAATCTCCAAGAGAATTTCGTCCGGAACGCGATCTATGTGGCACTTTTTCAACGCGCGTTTTCGTCCCCGGGCCATTGAAATTTGTAAAGCGCGGTTTTGAACAACGGAAGATAAAAAAACTGGGGAAAAATCGGTCAGAACTTGGTTAATCAATGATAACAAAAGAACAGCAAGTACATTTTGTTTACGACGCAATGTGGATCAGACGAGAATTGTGGACGCGACACGGGAACAGATCCACGTGGCTTGCCGCCTGCCTAAACCCTAATTTGCCACTTGCTTCCGTTCTCCGACTCGTTTTTCCAAGCAGCCACAATTTCACAATTTCAGTCTGAGCTTGAAGTTGTAGTTTATTGGCACGTCTAGCCCACTTTAAAATCAATCATTGAATCAGGTGTAAGATTATCATAAACGCCAACATGAATGATGCGCTTACTTTTACATTTTCTCGTGTTTTTAGGCTTTCAGATATCCAGAGTCCGGACGAACCTGGACGCCGACTCTCTCTGTTGGCCAAGCATCAATGAGATTTTCTTCTGACTTGAGCAGGTGCTTTCTAAATGAACACCATTCCCAAGAGTCTAGAGTGAAGACAGGACGAATGGAACGGTATCTGAGCGGCAGTCTTCACCTATGCGTGCAGAGCAATCTATACAGATATGGTAGGCCTTCAAGTGCAAAACCATTCGGGCTATCTGTTTCTAACTCCTTTGTTCTTCTTAAGTACCACTTACCCTTAATCGACCACCAACCCTTTCTTGAGATGAGCTCTGGAACCTTGCGGACGTCGGGACGTTTGGCGTCTTGTTCAGAATTGACGGGTTGTACTTGAATTATCGATCCGGAAGTCATCACACATCTGTTGCCCTGTCCGATGTGTGTTCCGTTTTCCCTTCACTGTGTCTGATTTTCTCCTTTGTACTCACGATTGTTTCCAGTGTTCGTCACCTGTGGGTATATTAAATCTATGCTAGCGAATAGCATGAATGTATACCTATGTATACAGGACTCAGGCCTCAGGAGTTAGGTCCAGGGACATATACAATCATCAAAGGGCTGAGGTGCCTCAGGAGCTTCTGTTCTTCTGGCTTGGACTATCCTACTTACCCTCAGGGGAGGTATCAATCGTCACTCGTGCACCGTTCGCTCTTCTAGTACCGATCTTGACGGTTGTTGTTTTTCGCTTCAAACAGTACGTAGACTATCTCATCTCGTTTTTACATCGGTCTTTGCGGCGAACTCTTCGTTCTATCTGTCTTGCTGTCTTGCTGTGTAGATGGAGACTGACGTTATTTACAGACACAAACGTTTTCAGACATCGATTATGGTACACAGCGCTCAATACTGCTCAACAGCGGTTTAGATATTGCCGTTGCAGCTTATCCGGATTCTTAAAATGCCCGACGATCTACGGATTATTGTATTCGGAACGGAGGAACGGAAGCTTGACATTTCATTGAGCTTGTGTCACTCTACTTCTCTACCTTCTTCCGATCTAGCACTACACGTGTGAGAGTTGAGGCGATTGTTCTACTCAACCTTCGTTTGTTCAACCCCTTGAGTCTTTCACCTAGCTGTACATCTACATGCTGCTTCGACTTGATGTTCCTGTTCTCGTGTCTGCCAAGACATGCCAGCAGTCACTTGTTCTGCATCGGTCGAGTTCTGCATCAATCGATGCTTCACAGAAATCAGAGCCCCGAGATGTGCCATTCATCTGGGCTCGGGCAAGCCGGAACTCTCGGTGGCACTGACGGCCGTTATGGTGGCCTTTGTACTAAACGTTACTTTGTTCAAGGCCCAGGAACTAACTCTTGCTTCTCAAGATTGAAAGGTGTCGATGCCGATGGACAGGGAGGAGGAGGGGCGGTGTTACGTCTTAATTGGTGCTTTTTAGCTTCTGTTATTAAGGCTTCTGTTTGTTGGTCCTCTGTCGTCTCTCTTTCTTCAGCCCATCGCGCGCGCTGTAGAAATGGCTTCGCCAATCCCTCAGGTCCACTGGCAGCCTCTGGCCCGACCCTCCCACCCCGCTCCTTTGCACTTGACAGCCGATTCCTCATCCTCCATCGACTCCCCCTCACACTCTCTTACTATCTTAAACAACGATTATGATGCGTTCGATGCGCTTCTCCATAATATCTACGAAAAAACTCTACAAGATAATTGGTTCAAACCTGCCGGCGATGCGGATTCCACTGGAGTCTGTGTCCGTGTGGATTCGTCGTCCTTTCGATGCTTTCCGTACGAAAACCCTAATCTTATCCCGTTTGAAGAAGGTGTCCGCCGGCTTAACGTCGAAGTAGCCATCAAGATTCGGAGTGCTAGTGTTCATGCCGCGCTCACCCGCACGCCACCTACGGCCAAAGAAATCCTCATCGATTCAAACACGCGCATTCAGATCGTCGAGGATATCAGTGGGCTGGGCGATGCCGAGCGGGAACAGTGCGCTGCCTTCATCCGTTCCGACAAGACCCTCGTGGTATGGGCGTTCTCCATCGAGCATGTGATCCCATTGTGGACCGAGTTCGAAGAGAAGCTTATCAAGTACATCTGGAGGACCAGAAGCACGCCGAATAGAGACAGCAATGCTCCCCCGGGCTATGAATCCGTAGGAGTGTCATCTGAAATGCGCGCCGATAGCTATCCAGATCTCGCATCGACCGTGACTTCCGCCGCTCCTTCAACTCTCGCGCTTCCCACATCCTCTGCCATGCCTAGTCCGTGCGGAATGGAAGGCATAGATCGGTCCGCCGCGGCGACCGTTAACATCAATTTTGGATTTGGTGCTTCTAGCGAGGAGGACCACGAGGAGAAGGCCGTGCAACGTCCAAAGAAGGTAATCAAGAAGAAGAAGAAGAGTAAATTTTGGTCGTTCCTTTCTTGGTGGAAACTCGATTCGCCCACACCTCCTGAGATCTCAGAGAAGGGTATGTCGTTCTAATTGCTAATCGCGCCTCATTTTCCCTAACAATATTGTTCTCAGATTCTGTCCTTGAAGATGGTCCTGAATCTCGACCTGAACCTCGCCAGCTCGTTCTTCTCGGTCCGTTTTATGCAGGCTGCGGTGCGGCATTGGCCATGTACTTTGCTGCGGCTGGTGTCTCGAACCTTGTGGAGGAATGGGTTTTGGATGGCAAGACAGCACGATTTGGATTAGTCGTCGTGTTACCTATTGTGGCTGCCGTCAGCATTGTAAGCACTTAAATTGTTGTATATTTTCATGTCCTGACTGTCTTTTAGTTCTTTTGCCTTCAGCTCGTCGGAAACCTTTCTCTCATCTTCGGTCCAGTCGCACAGTATCACCAGAACAGCGAGTATTACTCTGCACAACGTCCCAAGCCGAACCCGAAGGTTGATGGAGCAGCAAGATGGAACGAGCATGTTGAAAAGGTTGTCATCAGGGGTGAAGGTGGCGAAGAAGTGGAACGAGAGGTCAAGAGGGAGGTCCAAGTTGGAGGGCTTCCGCATATTACGATTCAATGCCCGGTCTACAAA